CATGTTCCTGATGGCTCTAGCTAAAACATACAAGGAATACAGCTACATTTTAGACTATCAATCATGAATGCTGCTGACAGACTAACACGGTGATTAGAGTAATCCACATCATTTTTAACTTTTTTAAAAAGGACTCTGATCTTTTATAACTGTCAAGAAGGTATTGCCTTGTAACTGCACATCATTTTCCTGTTTTCTCTCTTTCTCTCCAAATTCTCCATTCAAAGTCTTCAGAGACAAAGTAAGAAAGCATATTCAAAACTAGCAGTCATTATAGAGACTTCAGTATCTGGGCAGGCAGGAAGTAAGGGAATCTCTTATCTTGATAGTTTGCTTGTCAGAAACCAATGCAATAAAGCCTTTTTAAAGTCTTATTTACCTTCAAAATCTAGCAGTTTAAAATGGCAAGAAAAAGCAAAAATGCCCTGAAAATATCTGAAGGAGCCAATCTGCCCTCAGGCACATGGTTGTACATTGGGGAAATCGGACATCATTCCTACCCACTGAAGGAGGCAGTGTTGGCAACCAAGTTATAAAAGAAAACTCCCTTATGACTCTGCTGGTTGAGGTGTTGTGTTTTAAGATGTAAATGTAAACCAAAGGACTTGATCATTTGCAACTTAAAAACCCCAATTCCATTTTTTTGCATTAGCAGGAGGTTTTTCCGAGGTTTCTGGCCTACATCCAGTTAAAACAACTATATATGACTACTTACCTAAACATTCTTTTTCTGCTCAGTTGATTATGATATTAGTCATTTTCTCTCCTGAAGTGTTGAAATACTTTTGTACACTATTAAAAAGTTCCTTGCCTTCTCCCTGAGGTAGCTGCATTTCAATGATGAGTGATGTAATGCCTTCAATAGAATAGTTGGTAATTGGTTTGTAAAGTTTAGCATGCACGCTGGGATCATTTCAGGAAGGGCTATAAACAAGTATCCATCATTCTTACTCTCTAATATGTCATCCCTGGACCTTTCCTTAGTGGGTCTAAACATTCCACAGCTGTGATGATTAAACATTACCATGCCATGGTGTATTGAAGCAATGTCATGATGTAAGGGCAAGAATTTTCATCAGTCAGTAGGGAAACAAGGAAGTGAAAAAAGATTCAAGCTATTCACCTTAGAAATACAAAAGAAAGAAGTGTGTAAAAACTAGCATTGACTCATCTGACAGTATTTATGGAGAACAGAGAGTAGAAAATTTTTATTGGAGTTATAAACTCCAGGGTTTGGGTTTTGGTATGGTTAGGGAACTCAGTAATATGATTAGAAAGGGAAATGTATTTGGGAAATGTGACATTTGGAAAAATAAGTTAATTATCCAAAACCCAGAATTTAGTAACATTCAAGTGTTCTTCACATCAACAGTAGCATAATTCTTCACTTAATAGAGAAGCTTTGCTAAGTAATGAACATACTTCAAGGATGTCAAGGAAACAACTTTACATGACTGGTCATGGAATAATTTAATATAATTAAACAAAGGATAAACAAAAGTAGGTCTGTAACTAAAACTCACTGTTCTAAAATGACAAGCTTTAATAATTAAGAGAATAATTGAATGAAATAAATCAAACTATGGAAGAAAATTCAGGATGTGAATGTGAAAAAGGTCTGAATTGCTTCAGGTCAAAAGGGGATGAAAATGTTTGATCGTGGTTAAAAGCAGAAGCACGGGAATGAATGCCTGCAGAAATAGGCTTCAAACCTAACCAGTTAAATAACTACCTCAAGCAAGATGTTGTGAATATGCAGTGTCAAAAAGTAATAGAAAAAAAAGTCTGATTAGTAAAAAAGTTATGTCTTAGAAGCTAGAAAATACCAGGAAAAAAAAAAATAAAAAATTGTTAAAATCAATTTGAAATAGTCTTATTGAAGATAATAAAACATAGAGCAAAAAGGTTTGCACACATGGTCAAAAAAGACAAGAAGGAAAGCAGCAGGACCTCTGTAACATTAAGCTGGGATAACGATTAGAAACAAGATGGATGATTATTTTGGCCATGATGGCAAAGGCAGTACATCTTGCTACATTACTCCAGTGTCTTTCTTCATTTTTAAACAAGAAAAATGAAGCACAGTGAATCTACTGAGACTCCCATGCAGCTTTTGATGTGATGTTACGTAGAAAAGTATGAACTAACTTTGATATGATGAAATTGGCAGAGGAAACATGAGATGAACAAGAAACTGAATAAAGGTTAGATAGTCATACATCATACTGAAAAGGAATAGTATCAGGTTAAAAGTAAGTCACTAATGACTTCCTGAAAGATCAGTCTTGGAGATGATTTTACTTAGTAACTTATTTAGTGTTTTTATCAATCTCCTTGACATCCCTCTGATGACAACACGAAGTCAGGAGACATCACGCAGGGGGAACAAAATGACCATAACGTGAGCAACAGGCATGCAAAGTGGACTGGTAAAAACAATAAAATGCTACGGAATTCTCACTTTATAGTCAGTTACTTGGAAACCATAAAGGAAAAACTGAGGAAAAAAAGCTGGTCATAAAATGGTAACAAACCATTTCTGCAAGGAAAATGCAACCATGATCCTGGGATGTACCAGGACAGTTCCAGGAGAGATAATGAAGCCAGTAAATTCTGCAAAGCATCAGTAAGGCATTACCTGGAGTATTTTATACAAGTCACATCTGGGGTGAGGTCAGACTCTTGAATCCACACACGGAAAGTTTAAAAGAGTGGCAAGAGAAATGAAAAGAATGTCTTATGACAGGAAACTTTCAAGAGCACGTTTTATTTAGTCAAGCAAAACAAAGGCTGATAAGAGCCTTTCTCTGTCTACAAATGCATCAAGTAAAAACTATGAAAAGAACCACATAAGCTTACATACTTGCCAAAGACTGAGTATAAAACCTATCACCACTGCATTTAGTCTGGGAATTACAAGGTTTCTAATCATGAGAGCACTGAAATGTTACAATAGATTTTCATTAGAAATGTCGATGGCAAGAAAGCTAGCTACATTTAGGAAGATACTTGCTCAGTTTAAGAAGAAGAACATATGAAGTGGTTGCCTACTGGACTACATAGATAAAGAGCTTTCTTCCAAACCTCCCTTAGCAGCTCTGACTCTGTAGTGATCTTGGAGGCTCCACTTCCTCAGACGAACCAAACCAGCAGTATTCACAGGCCTACATCTCCTCCAGGATGTGGATGGCTAGAAGCAGCCATGAAGTGTTTGAGGAGTTTACAGTGGAGACCACTGAGGGCTGACAGGCAGCTGGGAAGTTATAGGTTAAGCATCGCTGTATGAGAGCAACGGCACTGAATTCCAAATGGGATAGAGCCATACAGCTTAGTTAGTGTAAACAAATGGTTATGATTCCTGTCGAGAACAATTTTTCATCTCCGTAAAGCCTAGTTTAATAACATGGCACAGGCACCACTGAAAACGGGAATATTAGCTTCCCACCAATTTCCCAAAATTGAAATAGAATCTGTTTTGGCAAAAACAGTACAGTTGTCTACCAAGAAAAACATTTTAGATAGTTATATAAGCAATAAAAATAAATGTTTTATAAAATTCACCCAGAAGGACTTTTAAGTATTAAAAACCCAATAATAATTAACCAGATTTCATGAAGTATGAAACAGCCAAAAATAACCAGGACAGCTGAAGATGGTGAAGTCATTTCTTCTACTGCACTCCAAAGCCTGACCACCTGTAGAGATTAAAAAAATATGTCCAAAGAATTAATTTTCCTCATATGGACACAGTGCAAAATTCTGTCTCTTAATATGACTTCATTTTGCCGAAGTAATGGAATTTTATGCAAGCTTAATGTTTTACAAGTGCTTCATGCAGCAGCAAACCATTGGGAAGACAGATGAAATGAAGGACTAACTATTGGGTTTCCTTTTACATTAAAAAATGCCATTGTCTTCTGTTAAGGTCCTGCTCACCGCTGCCCCCTGAAGCAGCCTGTGCACCACTGATGATCGAGATCATTTAGGAAGAGCAGACTGATTAATGTTAACCTGTGTCGGAACCCACCATTCTGCCACAAATGTGATAATACTACTCTGCATCAGCCAAGGGATTCCCAGTAAAGGAAACCATTAGTATCTTCTCACAGGCTAAAATCTTGTTTTGTCTGTATGTGGACACCATGTTGAAAGACAGATTATCAGAACAGGTTTGGGAACAAACGTGATTAGGACATAAATTAGGAGGCAACAACAGTTAATTTTATTGGTGAAATGAAGGTTGAGCCTAGGTTATGACAACATTTCATATGGGGGAATTAATTAAGAGAAAATAACATTTTAAGCTGAAATGTAATACTAGTACAAGATCAGGTCCATGAATACATCCACTCTGGAAACTGAAGTTCTCTGAACTTCTGAGTTTCTATAATAGTTTCCATGCTAGACAGTGGACTAAGAAAGCTACTGTTTTAAGATAAAGCTTGATGGGTTAATTTCTGTGACAGGACAAAAAATGATCCTTGAGTTAAAAGGTCATCTTTGGATTTCTGATTATTAATCTCTGAATATCTGGTTGCACTGATTTACCACAAAAGATTGGACATAAAAGACACTTGCTTACTACTGACTGATTGTAATTCTTTGCATGTATTTCAGGTGTATTAATTATAATTCTCCATAATTTTTGTTGGCTACTTGAAAAAGCATTGGCTTTTACTTGGAAATGTTGAAGGTGGGCCACAGCTAAAGGCAGGTGGAAAGCAGGATGTAATAATAGTGAATTTTCATCTGAGTCTTCCAGATACTTGACTGGTGAGCTGGTGTCCAGCGCATGCATCAGGTAACACCAGTGACCACATCTGCTGTAAGAATGGAACTGTCCCCAGTTGTAAGAGTCCCAGAGATTCAGTTTGCTGGGTTTGTTTTTTGTTTTTTGTTTTTTGTTTTTTTTGTCTGCAGTGTGCGGACACAGTCCTTTCTCTAAGAATTTACTTAACAAATTTTTTGTTACCGCAAGGACTAAGTATATTGATGACATCATGACGACATATGATGACCTGACATGGGTATGTGGAATAGATACTCTATGAACTTTCAGGACAAAGTACTTATTTCACAGCTCTTTGCAATGGAAGGTAAAGGGTGAGACCCCCACCCTGTTAAGCAGGAGCTACCTTTCTGTGTTTTCCTATATCCTTAGGCAAAGGTGACTTACGAAGGATACAGAAATAAACAGAATAAACCTAGCTTCAAAATTAGTTAGCTGCATTTATGAACTATGCTCAAAAATGAAATTCTTCTGTAGGAATGGAAGATACTTTCTGTTTTACAGATGCCATTTACAGTTGCAAGTGAAAAATTAAACTTGGTTATCCTTCTCTAGTGCCAAAGCCAAAAATGGAGGCTAGCAAACAAAACACACCTCAACCTTAAACGTGCTTAAAGCAACAAAGATTAATCTACTGTATTAGTCAT